TATATATATATAGTGACCAGTATAAATAACGCGAAAAAGTAACACCATGTGTAGAAAACAAAACTGAGTATTTTCGTGAGTTGTTTTTCATTTGTCTCTATTCACAATGTGTTATTGTTATTGGATTGGCTCGATTTAAAAATGCAACACGCTCATTCGCCACCTATGCATCAAACAATACAACACAGCAACCCTCTCAATGGTACCTAGTTAAAACATGAATTGAAACGTGAATTTTGCTCACAAGATAAGTTGGTCTGGCCTAATAAACTATGTGCCCTAAAATGTTTGATTGAGTGTTGCATAGTCTGACTATCAAGATGCCAAGATTACCTGCGGGAAATCGAGAAAGAGCTATTGGACGATTGCAAGCCGGCGATAGCCCCCAGCAGGTGGCAACAGTTGTGGGAGTGCATGCTAGCACTATCTATCACCTGCAAAACAGATTCCAGGCAACCAACTCCACGACAGGTCTCCAAAGAAGCGGAAGACCTCGACTAACAACAGCTGCCCAAGACCGCTTCGTTGTGCGTCAGCATCGCTTAGATCCACGGTTGTCTGCCTCCGAGACAGCCTAAAACACCATAGGAACACACGGTAGAGCTGTGAGTGACTGCACCATACGCCGCCGACTTGTGGGTAGGGGGCTGCGTTGTCGGCGTCCGGAGCAGAGAGCACCCCTGAACGTCCATCATCGACGAGCCCTTCTCCAGTGAGCTCAGAACCTTGTATACTGGCGTCATCGACAGTGGCAGCGTGTGATCTTCAGCGACAATAGACGGGTCCGAATTTGGCGTGCCTCGGACAACGCTACTCAGACGAGAACATCTGGGATACCCGTGTGGGGGGGGGGGGGGGGGGGCAGAGCGTGATGATACGGGGCGCAATCGGTATCAATCAAAGACTGGGCCCCATACTCGTCCATAATTTTGGACCTGAACGTGGTGACGGTACAGTGCTACATCAACCAAGTCCTGCTGAACCATGTTGGTCCATTTTTCCAGAGACTTAAAAACCACCTCTTTCAGCAGAATAACGCCCGGCCTCATACAGCACGTGTTACTTAACAGTTCTTGGTGCAGAGCAACATACCCACCATGCCTCACCCACTTCGATTGCCAGATGTGAACCCAATAGAACACCTTTGGGACATCCTTCCGAGGCGTCTCAACCAACTCCAGCCCAGACCCCGGACAGCAGCAAAACTGGGTGCTGCTATTGCTCAGGAGTGGCTGCAGGTCCCCAACTGCCTAATCAATCGCTTGGTCCACTCTATGCACCAATGACGCACTGCTGGTATCAACTGTAATAGGGACCATACCAGATACTGACTGGAACTTGAGCCCCAAGGTCAAGGTCATTGATGCCAAATAACAAAATCTGTTCCCAAGCAAATCTCCAACTCTCAAGCATTGTTTTGTGCAATTTGAGACACCTCAAACCTGTTTTTTTTAAAATATATATAGCTTCAATTTACTCTCCTCTTCTTGTATCAAGTGAATTTGCATTACTTTTCACGGTAAGTATATTATATATAATGCTCTTTACAGCTCCCAGAATTTCATCCTCTTTATTTTGATAGAGTAAAAAAAACCCCAACTATTTGATCTTTGAACAAAGAAAAGAATTATTTCCATTTTGGAAAGCGAAGTATGGTAAAAATGTTTATGACGTCAGGCGTTCGCAGGCGGTACTTACAATCAAATTCTGCCAAATTCACAGACGTGCTATTACATGAGCTTTGTTAGATAAAAATGTAAATCTATATAATGTTTGTTGAGTAGTCATTCCTTTGTTTCACAACAAAGGGGAAATTGCATCAACATTACTTTGTATCTCTAGTAGAATCAAATTTAAATCTATAATTTATAACAGTTTTTTGACAGCGGTAGGTTATTTGCATTGTTTTAGATATACATATTTTAAAAAAGCTATGTGATACACGCAGAGGGCAGTTATTTCACATAATAGTAGAAATAAAAAGTAGAAACAAAAGGATATAAATAAGATAGACGGTTTGCTGAATAAGTAAGAAGACATTCATTATTATATTGAATGGCCAAAAAAGATAGATAGATAGATAGATAGATAGATAGATAGATAGATAGATAGATAGATAGA